GTAATACCTCCTGGCTCCAGTCCTCATTCTTGGTCTCCTTCACCATGGAATGTTATCTTCTGGCCATCTTTCATGCCTTTGTCAATACGAACTTTCTAGAATCTTGTCTCTATCTTCCTTCTGATGTAGCTTTTACATCTGTCTTTAGGACTAGTGCACTCCCCATGGCCCTGGCACTCCCTGCACACAGACTGGATTTGCTGAACCATTCCAAGTCCTATCTGATGAATTCTTATTTGTGTTCCAGTTCCTCTGCAGCTGGGACAGCACTCCACAGCTCCTTTCTTACCCCTCGCCTTCATGTTTGTCACAAATCACATTGTTTTGCAGAGCCAGTGTCCTTGTGGCACCGTTATATAAATCCTCTAAGGCAACTGAGAGCTGATGCACCACATTTTTACCTCTCCTTTCTCTCTGCATCCTTCCTCCTCCTCCTCCAAAAAACATATCAAAGACATCCACGGGGAACGGAAACCACCACCTGCTCCTCCCTCCTTAACTGCCTATTCTCCTTCTTTGTCATTTGATTCCTTTTTTTTGGCATTTGAGAGAACTTCATAAGTTTGAGAGATCTGTTTAACTTTTCTCCTTCATTTGGATTCTTATCAGGGTGATCCTTCAAAGCCGGGTTCCTATAAGCCTTTTTCAGTTCTTCTTGGGTGGCATTGGGTTTGACCCCTAAAACATTGTAGTAAGTGGTTTCTTTTACCATTTTCTGCAGGTGGCAAGTGGGCTGGGCCAGAGTAGGGGAAGCAGGAAGGAGCATGTAGCCGCAGGTCGAGCAGCCACTGCTCTGCCACCTCTCAGCGCTTTCTGGCAAGTTCCATCCACATTGCCTTTTTGAAGGCAGAATTTGGGTACTGTGGTGTCTCTACACAGACCTAGAAGCCCAGTGGATCTATCTTTGAACCCGAAAGACTGAATCTTCAATAACTCATTGTTATCAGTCTGCAACTTTTATATTTATGACAGAGAAAAAACTGGAATTGAGCAGAGAGAGAATTGGTAAACCTGGTTAGACGAGAAGGCAAGGTAAAGGCAAATGTAAGCAAATGGTTCCTTTAAGCTGGGTGATTAGGTAAGACTTGATAGCTTGCACATAAATGAGTCTGATAATGGCTAAGGGTCCACTTTCACGGAATTGAACCAGTACCACTGCAAGAGGGGGTCTTGAGTTTCCCAAAACCTTCCCTCCAGCCATAGTTGTTGGCCTCTGGAGTAGAAGCTGGCCCATAGATTCTTGTTGTTCCTTCATCCGTGTTCAACCGACCTGAAGTTCTGGCTTTTTTATAATTTCAAAGTTGTGGTGAAGAGTGCTCTGGAACTATTTAAAATGTTTGGTGGGTTTTCTGACGCAAGAAGTCTCTGGGGAAACCTCTTCCATATGGTGCTGTCATGTTTTTAGTGTACTAAAATTTTTTTAAAGTTTGGAGTATTCTGTTTTATTTATCTCATCTACTGAACTTCAGGAAAGTCAAGGGGGAACCAAATTAATGGCTTGAAATGCTTTTAAACAGCGAGAATCCCAGCTGTTACTGCAATAAAAAGAGAACTTACACAACACTATGTAAGAGTATTTGTGCACGCAGAGATAGATGACACAATGAAGTTCTTGTTTTATATTGTTGCTAAGCCTCCTTAAAATGAGAAAGAATTCTATAATAATTAAAGGTCTTTAATTCAGTTTAGAAAATGTTTGAGGCCCTTTCTGAAAAGGTGCTGTGCTTACGTGGGTCTCTTCTCTTCCAAGATCTGCCAAAACACATGACCACAAACCAGCAAAACTGTTCTTTGATAGTTTGGAGACAAGAAGTCTGAAATTAAGGTGTCTGCAAGGCCATGGGTAGAACCTTCTTGGCTTCTGGTGTTTCCAGTGATCCTTGAGGTTCCTTGGTGTGAAGATGCAGTGCTCCGACTCTGTGTCTGCATCAGTGACATTGTGTTTTTCCTGTATGTCCCTCTTATCTCTTCTTATAAAGCCAACTACTTCAGGGTAGCCCTATCTTTACTAAGTAGGCCAGAGTGACCCTATGTCCAAATGAAATCATGTTCATTTGGAGTTTCTGAGAAAGACATAGATTTTGAAGGCAAATCTATTCAATCCAATATAGGAACTCCTAGAATTTGTAAGAAATGACTTTTTCCTTCAGGAAGATACAGATGGGGACATCAGTACAGAAAACTACCATGCAGGGTAGTGTGCAGTGGTGATGGTACAGAGTACTGTGGGTATGCAGAGGAACTGGGGAGTGGTTGCGACTAGGGTGATCATGCAAGGCTTCAGGGTGGAGTTGGTGAACAGCCTGAAAGACGACCAATGCACCAGCTGGCGGTCATGGGACAGCCAGGCATTCTGGGCTGAAGAACTAGTGTGAGCAGGCCCGGGGTGCATTTGTGCATCCACAATGTGGAATTCCTGAGATGCCTAGAGTGTCTGGCTAGAGGACAGCATGGCACCTGAGTAGGGGTTGCAGGTATTGCACTGGCCACTGGGAAGGGACAGGGGAGGGAGGAAGAATGAAGTGAGGAGAAGGTCAGGAAAGCAGCATGGGGATTTCTGAGAGAGTCAAGGGCAAAGTTCCAGCAGAGGCAGGTGACTGTTCCTTCAGGGGCCTACAGAGATAGAAATGTTGCTGTGGATTTGAGTGAGGAAAAATGACAAGGCAGTTTTGCCCTTGATCATAAGTTCTCCTTCAGAGTAGAACTCCTTTAAAAGATGATTTTAGCGACTTCTTTATGAGGAGGTGGGGAGGAGGTGGCTGCTTACATGGTGTTTGATTTTTGAGTCATCAGAAATGCTCCTTTGACTCCCCAAATACCCCCTGGATCTAGGCAGTGGATGCTTTTAATTCTACTGTTGACAGTTGTTTCCCCTCTGTTAGAAGGCAAATGCTTTCTGGGAGAGGATATCCATTTACTGTCAGTCTGTTGCACCTTAATAAGAGGCATTTTTCTCAGCCTTTTGTGCATTGGTAGGCTTTTGAGAAAATCATAAGGCGGGAAAAGGAGACCATGGGGAGGAATCGTGGCCATACCAATATGTAAACTGTGTCAGTCTTAACTAACCCTAAGCACGTAGTCCCATGATCAAGAAAATTCTGCTATGATTCTTGAGTTAAGCCTTTTGCTAGTATATTTTAGTCAAGACATGATTATTTTTGTCCTAGTTTTATGGTTATGAAACTGTTTTGTATTTAAAAGGAGTAATCTCACCTCTCCCACTCTCACCTCAACAAAGATAATTAGTGTGGCAGCCTTCTTTCTGGTCTGTTTTGGGGAGACTATGCTGGGTAGGGCTGGTGTGTATACATGACAGAAGAACTCTGTGTCAGAGGAAGGTCACACTAAGTTTGGGTGGCTTATTTCAGAAGTTTATTCCTCATTCACATCATACTGCAGTTCAAAGTGAGTGGTAGGGTGTTCCCTACAGTTTTTCAAGGACACAGGCACTTTCCATACTGTTATCCACAGTCTTTATGGCATTATCTCAAGCCTCAGGGCCCCTAACTTTTCTGCAAGCCAGGGGAAAAGAGGTGTGCCTTGGCCTACAAGGGACACATCTGTACCTCACATTCCACCGATGGGCACTAGTCCCCGGGGCCACCCTGATGAAAGGAGACTGGGAGACAGTTTGGCTGTGCACCCAGGAAGAGGAACAGCTCTGGGAGTCTCTCATTCACACAGGTACAGCAAGAGACATTTCTGTGTCTTGCTTCTGTCTGTGATATAACTTGACCTTTGGGGCTGTCATGAAGAGGATAATGCACCAGCTGCAACCTAGAAACTGCCTTCTGTTTAGAAAAGTGAAAAGTCACTCACTCTGCTGGGTAAAGGATGTCTTTCCCTAGATTTTTTGCTGTGTAAGGGAGGACAGAGTCTTGACTAAAAAATACTTGTTTTGTTTGTTTTCTTTATTTGCTTTGGTTGGGAGTAAGAAGAAGTTCATGGAAATTTTCTATGCGTACATCTTGGAATAATCTTAGAACAGGAGTTTTGGGTTTCAGTGATGTGGCTTCTTTAAAACATTTTACTTACCCTTGGAGATGAGAGTATGTTATTGTTTGTAGGAGGGTGAGGGATCCTGTACTCCATCTCCTTCATTTATGTAGACAGAAGCACTGAGAGGTAATTGTGTTGCCCAGATTTACAGCAAGGCAGCGGCACACACAGGTATCAATCTCCATGTTACAGATTTCTGTTCTGGTGATCTTTCCACTACCATCAGGCTGTTCATAGAGAACTACGATGTGGTTAGCATCACTGGCCTGGTGGGGTTGGTGAGTGTCAGCTAGCAAGGGCAGAGGCTGGGCCCAGTGGAACAGAAGAGTCTTCAGAAAACTTGGCTTCCTTGTTTGAGCATATTTAGGTTGATGATGTCTGTATAATCCCTGGCCTGGAAAGAGTTTGTAACTTTCCTGAGGAAACAGTCTTAATTATTTATTCTTCTCAGATGTTTTTTAAATTTTAACTTTTTATCTGTGTTTATTTTTAAATACTTTTTTTGAATTATAAAGTAACACTATAGAAATTAAGTAAATATATGCAAGTATAACAAAAATATATATAAATGTAACAGACCTTGCCTGAATTTCCATAACTTGACAATGCATTATATGTATATGCTTATATACAATGGTTTGAGATTGTGCAATATAAAATAATATTATGCAACCTCTAAAATATGTCATATTATGCAATATGAAATATTGTGCAGTCCTTAAAAGTTGTTTTAAGATAAATAATAATATAGAAAGAGTCTCATATATATTTGTATATTTTTGCATAATACTAATACTATTTGCTTATTTGCTTTTTAATGGAAATAAAAAGAAAGAGCTCTGCATTCCTTATACTTTATAAAAAAATTCTAAGTTTTCAAAGGTTGCATAATAATGCATCTCATGAGAATATACTATACTTAAAATAATGGCTGCAGTGGGGAGAAGGGTAAGGAGTGACTCTTTGATTCTCTGGCTATGATGCTGTTCCTCTTCTCCCAGGGCATCAGCAGCCTGTTCAGCTCTCTGAAAGTTGTCCGGCTGCTCCGTCTTGGGCGAGTGGCCCGTAAACTGGACCACTACATTGAATATGGAGCTGCTGTGCTGGTGCTGCTGGTCTGTGTGTTTGGGCTGGCTGCACACTGGATGGCCTGCATCTGGTACAGTATTGGGGACTATGAGATCTTCGATGAGGACACCAAGACGATCCGCAACAACAGCTGGCTGTACCAGCTGGCGATGGACATTGGCACTCCTTACCAGTTTAATGGGTCTGGCTCAGGAAAGTGGGAAGGTGGTCCCAGCAAGAACTCAGTCTACATCTCCTCGTTGTATTTTACCATGACCAGCCTCACCAGTGTGGGCTTTGGGAACATTGCCCCGTCCACAGACATCGAGAAGATCTTCGCAGTAGCTATCATGATGATTGGCTGTAAGTAGAACTGTGCTGGAGTGGGCAGACCTTCTTTGTAAGTTTTATTGTTATTTGTACATGTTTGCAGTACACAGTGATTACTTTCATTGTGGTGAGCTGGTCCATGTATGTAACACATCCTAGTTCTTTTCCATCCCCCTTTCCTCTCTCTCCTCCCTCCCTCCATCTCTTGGTCCACTTCCTTTTTGAAAAAGATCTATCTCCCCGTTTCCTATGACCTATCTTTTATTTTACTCTTTATTTATATTTTGGGTTTCTCATATAAGAGAAGCCATGTGATCTTTAAGCTTGTGTGTCTGATTTATTTCACTTAACATTATGGCCTCAAGGTGCACCCATTTTCCTACAGATGACTCATGGTGGGCGTGCCTGCTGGCCATCCCTGCTGCTAGCTGGAAGTAGGGCAGTGGCTACTGTGCCAGCAGGATCAGGGGTATAATAACTCAAAATAAGGGACAGAGCTTTTCATTAACACTAGCTTCAAAATGTTGCTAATAACTAAGGGTCATAAGTGTGCACTACAAAACAAATTGAGGAAATACGAAAGAATGTGCAGTAGAAAGTGAAGGCTATTCCTAACTCCGTCTATCAGAAATAACTACTATTACTTTTTGGTGCGTTCCCTTGGAAAGTATTTTCTATGCATATCTGAACACATAGGTGCAGAGTTTCATAAAGTTAAAATGAGGTATGTTATACATTTTGTGAAGTGTTTCTAGCACAGTGAATTATGGAAAGCTTTGCATATCAGTTTAGTTTTGCCTTTTCAATAAAAGATATGTAGCGTGATGTTTGATATACAGAGTGAAATGGTTGCTCCAGCAAAGCAAATTAATATATCCATCTTTTCACCTCGTTATCATTTTTGTTTTTCTTCTTTTTGATAAGAGTTCTTGAAGTCTGTCAGCAAGTTTCTAATATTCGTTGTAGTATTACTAACTGTTTATGCTGCAGTGTCAATTTAAACATAGCTAGAGGTCAGCACAGAACGATACAGTATGAGAAAAATGTTAAAAAGGCATGTAAAATATTTCCTTAATTATCTTCTATTTTGATTATATATCAAGTTGATAATATTTTGGGTTACATGAAATACTCTGTTACAATTAATGAAATTTTTCTTTTTCCTTTTAAATATGACTTGTAGGAGAATTTTAAATCTTATTTCTATTGGATAACAGTAGTCTAGATCAACAATTTTGATGTCTGCCTACTAGCTGAAAAATTGTTCAACTCAGCAACAGAACATGCACACACATATTCCAAGGGGAAAAAAGGCTCTTGTTCAATTGGAAGAGAATAGATTAAAAGCAACTTTCCTCGGTTAAAAATTAACCCATTCTTGGGGCAGGGTCATTCACTCATTGACCACTGTGAGGTCTGGAAATCACTTTTGACTGCAAACAGTAAACTCCCTTCACTGAAGGGAGCCTTAGCGATGGGAGACCTGGTTACCTAGACAAAAGAAAGAAGCTGAGTGACTTGGACTCATCGTGAAGCTGCCAAGTGTGGCCTATTGATGCTTTTGTGACAATGGGGACATGGAACAGGGCAGTCCTGGTGGAACTCTCATTTGGATAGTAGTCTGGTTGCACAGGGGGACTCTTGGGCCCGGGATCAGCAGCAGAAACCGTGTTGCCTAATGCGCTTTTTCACGATGAAGTCGATGAATTAATTGTACCTGAGGCTGTAGCCGTGCTTACTTTGTTGAGCTGACTGGAGATCCTGCATCCTGTTTTCTGTGTGGATTTTATTAGCCCAGGTTGTCACCTTTGCTGCTTACCACCTGCCTTGTCCCAGCTACCTCATCCCATCTGATGCAGTTCTTTTGTGAAGGCCTCTCTGCCAGCAGTTTGCCTGAGAGTACGTACAGAGTGTGTCTGAAGGGTGATTGATTGATGGGACACGTGTGTCCATGAAGCTCTTGCGTCTGCTCCTTGCTTTAAAATGAATTTTAACAGAGATGATTTCCTGGCCATAGGACACAGTGTTAAGGATTTGTGGGTGGCTAATTGCTTCACTTTAATTAGAACTTGAGGAGGTTTTTCATGTCGCAGGAAACACTTCTAGAAAGGTTTTAGTGTCAGCTGCGCTCATTTCCTCATCAGAGCTTGCAGGGTTTTTATTTTATTTTTGTTTTGTTATGTGTGCGGGACGGGGTGGGGATGGACCCAGTGCCCTGTGGCTGCTAAGTATGTGCTCCTCCACTGAGCTGTACCCCTAGCTTACTTGCAGCACATTTTTGAGGCTTAAGAGTATTGAGTAATCAACTAGATGCATCATGCTCAGGACAAGATTTTGTTCTCAGTGGAGAGATGAGATGCTTTGTCAATTAGAAGCCATCATTATAGCCATTACAGAGAATTTGCTAAGAGTGGTCAGTTACAAAATGGGCCTATTTCAAAGGCTCCCCAAAGGCTTTCAAATACCAAATTTCCCTGCAACTTTTTACCTAGAAGAAAAGAGCTCTGGTGGCAGCATAATAAGGATAAGTAGTTTTTTTCTCCAAAACCAAACTATGGGGAACATAATTTCCTAAGTATCCAGGGGAAACTCAGTTATTACCACTTGTTTTGTTTTGCACCTTCTCAGAGTCAGATGATGTTTGCATTTCTTTATATAAAAGTTTAATACACAGATAGTCCCCTCTGCAGCATGCAGCCTTGTGTGATGTTTGATGAAGTGACTCTATTAATAGCTTTCTGAACACTTGTTATTTTGCCAGGCACAGTGCTAGTGCACTGCACACGATTCCTTATTGACTATGACAACTGTGTACATTAGAGATAATTACCTCTATTTTATAAGGCTCCAAGAAGCTAACTGATTTTCTCAAGAATGTGGGGCTGATGGGCAGGAGCGAGAGGGTACAGGTCTGGCCCTTCTCTATGACAGTGCTAGGGTTATAACAGTGTTGTGTTGTGATGGGAACATCCAGCCTCTGACAATCTTCCACGCTTCTCACTGACATGCTGAAAATGCCCTCTGTAAACTCTAGCAGCCGGCAGTTTCTGTGGTGGAAACTTTTTCTATGATTGTTGTTGTTGTCATTTTAATTTAACAACAAGATTATGTTACAGACTCTGAGGGCTGGGTGCTTAGGAAACCAGCCATTTTTCAGCAACCTGTCACTTACAGTTACATCTGTTTCACTTCCCATGTGACACATGCCTGACAAATTTTTGTGCTAACAAGAAAGTTATTGCCCTCTGCGTAATGAATGGTAATTATCCTTGTATACTCACATTCTGAACAACCTTTGTTCAGGATAACTGCTGATATCTTATTAGATTTACGGGATTCTGTTATCCTGTCTGCCTGTACACACTTCTCTCGTGCCTGTACGGCTCATAAGGTCAGACTGGCAGCAGAATTGGGATTACGCTGCGCGGGCACATTAGTCACCGTCTGCATTTCTTCCAAGGCTCTCTGTTGCCTCCCTGCTAGGTCACTGTGGCAGTCACTAAGGGGTGGGCTGGGGGAGAAACACAGGGCCCATAAACTTCTAAAATACTGATTATGTTATGATTTTTTTCTTCTTTGCAGTAAAATTCACTGTATTTCCTGTCTATTCTATTGCAGTGCATCAGCCATAATGTAGATTACCTGAGGTTTTTGTCCCTTCTTTTTTGCTTGGACTATCCCATTACAACTGGGCTTATTCTCTAGAGGATGCTAGGAAGCAAAAAAAATAAATATTTGCAAAGTAGCCACTTTTCTCAGTGCTAATAAAAATTTTCATGAAGAGGTAAAATCTGTTGGCTAATTTAAGTCTTTTTTCCAGTGCTGATTTTTTAATTAGTACATATTTGCAGCACATAATTAGTACATGCATTGTGGGGAGTCTGCACATGCACATAATGCATCTTAATTCTTTTTTACCCCCTTCTGCTCCCCTCCATCACCACTCCCTCCTCCTCTTGTTCTCTCTTCCTTGTTTCCTTTTATATTTGTAGGAAAATGAGTGCATATCGGTGCCATTATGTTAAGCGAAATAAATCAGACACATATGCTTAAATATTGCATTGTTTCTCTCATGTGAGAAACCTAAAATATAAATAAATGAAAGAGCAAAATAAAAGTAAGTTTTTGTGCTTAGCTATGGGTGAGGTACATCATGGTGCCTGTAGCTGTCTGGTTTTGTGTCTGACATCCAGTGTTGGTTCTTGGCCTGGATCAGGGGCAAGCCAGCCCCTGCCAGGACCTCCTGTCCCTCCTTGGGTGTGTCTGTGTGTCTCCTGCAGGAGCTCACCCTGGGGCATGGTAAGTAGACTCCTGTGTTTATACCCAAGCCTCTCCTGGGTGTTAATAGTGCTGAGAAAAGCGGAAGACTCTTCAGTGATCACATGCTGAGCACCGTGCCTGGTAGGTAGCAGTTTGGACACGAGGTTTGGAGTACAGTGTTAGAGCTGCTGTCCTCAAGGGGTTGGAAGCCCTTGGTGGTGGAAATGAGTGTGGACAGAGCAGGCCCTATCAGTTGACCAGCCAGTGACAAAGGCCCCTGGGCTTGGAGTCTTCACCATGGCTGAGCATTGCCCCAGCTGCCACGGGGCTCCTCAGAGGAAGAAGAATTGGCAGGGGCAGAGCCCTGTTACCTTGGTCTCAGCTTAGGGACACATTCCTGTCTTGAGCAGTTCTTCAGGAGAATTTGATGGTGAGGAGACAGTTGCCATTTTCTAAAGATGGGCCTGCACTTTTCTGCCTCTCTCCTCATAATGCCATGCTGTCATCCTGTCACCCTAAGGAAGCTGCATCCAGTTCTCTGTCTCTCTGAAAATGGCAGGGGTCTAGACACTGCGCTCCTCCTCCAGACACTCTCTGCCCTCAGGTCTCACATGTGGTTTCCTGCCTCAGTGTTGCATCACACCAAAATCTTGGAATCCACGTCTTTCTTCCAAGTTCACCCCCAGCTCCGTAAGACCCTAGCTGACTTGATGCTAAAGGACTCTTATGAGCAGAGCCCCTCCTTTTACCTGATCAATTTTCAGACATACTCC